CCCTCTTTCTACAGGTGGGCGAGGGAGGCTCAGGGATGAAGAGCTCGGAGGCTGCGCAGCTGGCTAGTGGCAGCGTCCTCTCTAGCATTCCCCTCCGTCGTCTGTGTGGACCCTTGTTGCCAAGAGTGCATGTGAAGATGTGCTGTCCTGTGATCGTGCAACTAACGGTGGTACTACCCACATTTCCAGTTTCTCCTGTCCTAGTCCTAACCCCATCCACTAAGTAGCAGCCTTTCAGCTTTTTTAGAAATAGAAACAAGGCTGTTTTATTTCCTTTTCTTAATGTTCATTTATGTACAGTGTGTCAGAGAAGGGGAGTAAAGGAGGCTTTGAGATCCTAGTCCAGCCTCCATGTTTCCATATACCTGGCTTCGTGTTCCATGTGCTACTCAGAGCATTAGCTCAGAAATTAACTTTGCCTCCATTGAGGTGTACATTGGTGTACTAGACGGCTCAGACCTCTGAACGTATTGTTACAACTTAAGAAATTATACTACATCAAATTTAGTAAAATCTTAAGTGGCTGGGAAGAGTTGTTTTGCTGGCTTTGCTTGAGCCCAGCTGTGCAGTGAGAGTGGACATATCTCAGCTGATTGCGTACAGCTTCAACCTGGGGGCAGGTCACTTCTGACCAGGAGGGAGGGCTGTCATGTAGGATCCAAGTACTTCCCCTCTTTGATCTTACTCCCCTCTCACTTTCAAATGCCCCCCCCCCCATATATTTATACACACACAATTTTGGACAGGCAACAAAATAGAAAAATATATTTTTTAAATGCCTGTGAGGAATCAAATGCTTGTTTTCACACTAATGCACTGTACTTCTTGGTTTGAGTGCATTTAACAAATGTAAATTGATGTTATTGACTTAATGACAATATTTAATACTTACATTGTGTTCAGATCACTTTATAGATTTAACTCCTTAAACACTGTTTGTTAGAACTATTTATTACTGTAGTCCCCTTACCTATGGGGGATACTTCCAAGACCCCCAGTGGGTGCATGAAACCGCAGATAGCATCAAACCCTACATACACTGTTTGTTCCAGTACACACATACTTATAATACTTTAATTTATAAAGTAGGCACAGTAAGAGATTAACAGCAATAACTAATAATAAAATAAAACGGTTATAACAATATGCTGCAATAAAAGTTATGTGAAGGGGGTGTGGATACGCTGGATAAAGGGACGTATCACGTCCCGGGGGGACAGTGCAGGACGACGTGAGATTTTTATCACGCTATTCAGAACCGCACACGGTTTAAAACTCATGAATTATTTATATCTGCAATTTCTTTCCTATTTGATATTTTTGGACCACAGCTGACTATGGGTAACTGGAACTGAAAAGGTGAAACTGCGGATCAGGGGGGACTACGTATCCGTATTTCCCATTTTGTGGAAACGTAGTGTGGAAAGGCTAGAAACTTGTCCAAGCTCACCGGGCCTGGAACTGCAGAACCCGAGTGATCGGTGCTCCTAACCACTCCTCCAAGTGTGATGTGGGTTTTCAGCTGGAGCTTTCTCTAAAATGAGCTGCTTTATAACTTTGGAAATGGTTCACTAGTTAGTGTTTTTGTTTTCCGGGGTTAGCACTTGTGTGGAGGATGGGATTGATGTGTGAGCTCACACAGAAATAATTCAGGTCCCTTAAAAATGTTAAATAACTGAGTTGTTTGCCAGGGATTGAGGCAGAAATGTATCCTGAGATGCAGGCAAGTGGCCTTCTGGAGCAGGACAGTCTTGGGCTTGAGTGCCGGCCTCACAGTGCCTGTCTCAGCCTTGTCCTGCACCGGGACAGGCCCGGCTGGCTTTATGTGCTTGGCCCTGCTCTTCTTCCTATGGGTCCTTGAGTGGGCCGTGGTGTGTCACACCTGACAGGCCTGCATGTAGTTTGAAGTTTGAGAATTGGTGAGAACAGCAAGTACTTAGACTTGCTGTGGACAACAAGAAAATTTGGGGGTATTGTGTTATTGTTTGTCTCTTCAAATTGAGAGGCACATCTAGTTGCAGTACCCTACGTGGAATCCTGCTTGGAGGAGAGGTCAGGAGATCTGTCCCTACTCCCCAGAGACGGCATTTTCATTAGTAGCCACAGGTGCTGCTTGCAGAACCTGCTGGTATTTGGAGCCTCAGCCTTCATCATGACCAGGCTGAGCTGCTGGCCTGCGTTTCTTAGCTTTCCATGTCCGTGCAGCCTCACTTATAACTGCTGCCTGTTTCTGCCATCCTTCTTACGTTTGCATACAAAATTGGCAGATGTCCCTGCTGGCCAGAGTTTCCTTAGTAGGCATTTAGCCATGCTGCAGAGGGAAGGTTTTCTGGAAGGCAGTCGGGAGCTTTGGAAAGAGCTGTGGGAGTGGGCCTTGACCTTAGTTGCTCAGGAACTTTGATCTTAGCCAAAAGGCCGAGAAGCGATGCTCAGGAACTTTGAATTATCAAGAAACAAGCACCTCCCTTCTCCCTATTGTTCTGCCTGCTCCCTCCTCAGCCCAGAGAAACTGCCAGCAGCTGGAACACACCTGTGAACTTTGCGCCGACTAAGCGAGCGTCCTTTGATTTATGCTAAGCTTAATGAGTTTTGCAAGGTCTTCTGTACTTTATGTTATAAGTAATGTAATTTCAAGTTCTGAGAATGAGCTGCTATTGTCTGATGTTTTGAAACAAGAAGACCACAGGCGAAAGGAAAGGAGACAGAAATGAGGGCTTTGGGTTCAGTTACTGTAGTGTGTTTACTGGGTATATTGCACTTAATAGGAATTGAGACCAGAGCTCCAAGTTTAGTTGCAGTGTGAATTGATTCGCTGATTTTAGGCAATTTACTTCTTTGGTCTTAAATTGCAGCATCTTGAGAGCAAATGTGCCTGGTTTTTTTTTGTTTGTTTTTTTTTTTTGAAGCTCCTCTCCAGCTGTTTGTCCTCTGATTCCATGAATGTAGACCATTGTGTATAGAGATACATCACACAATTACACTGGGAAGTAGTTGTTTCTGCCCGCTTCTGTGTGAATAGCTTTATATGTAACTTTTTAAGTTAGTAGTGGCAAGTTTTAAATATGAATGTTTTATTACATGAGGTAATGAATAGTAAGTGCTTAGAGTGAAGCACTTGTTGCCAGGTGTTAACTTTCAGGTTATGGTTGATTCAGCCTTCGATGTGCAGCTTCTCATTCAGTTCCAGGCGGGTGGCCTGCTAACCTACATTTAAAATACTGTCTGTCCCAGCTGGGGCTATAAATACAATACCACGCCTATGGAGCCTAATATTTTTATTTCAGGCCTCAAGATTTTAACATTTAGCCCGGGTGGGCGTGGCTCAGCGGTTGAGCATCGACCTAGGATCCAGGCAATTGGGGTTCTATTCCCAGTCGGGGCACATGCCCGGGTTGCAGGAGGCAGCCGATCAATGACTCTCTCATCATTGATGTTTCTATCTCTCTCTCTCCCTCTGCTTTCCTCTCTCTGAAGTCAATAAAGATATTTTTAAAAAAAAGATTTTAACGTTTAAATGCTAAAAGTTACTCAACACGGGCAAACAAATTCTCCCTTGTAACCCTTTTAGCTGTTTCTTCTGGACTGAGCATAATTTAGGATTAAGTCCTACAATCTCTAGAAAAGCTTGGGATTGGTGATAAATTGTCAGTTCAGTTCTTGTGAGAAAGATGTGGATTCAGTTTTAGATCTACATTAGAGGCAGCTTGGGAGGCAGACTTGGAACGATTGGATTTCTCTGGGGAAAAGTATCTTTATTTGCCACTGTAGCAAGTTAAGAGCACGGTGAACCCTTCGCACACTGTAGTACTCTGAAGAGTGAAACAACAGAACCAGCCATGGCCTTATCTGTCCTCTGAATGTTCCTGTCCTTTCTCATCTCATTGAGTGACATCACTGGTGCCACAGAAACGTTAATAATCAACTCTAGTGGTCCTAGCTTGTGTGGAACTTATGATGAAACATGGCATCACCTGTTGGTGATCTGTCATACCACTCAGGCATTTACTTGATGTAATAGGAAGCTTCCTTTTATGGTGAATTTAGCTGTTCACAAGCACATGTTTTCCTCTGACCCCCTGCTAGGCCATGGCATGCTTTAAAAGTGCTAGAATAGCCCTGGCCTCAGTGGTTAGAGCATCAGCCTGCGGACAGAAGGGTCCCGGGTTTGATTCCGGCCAAGGGCATGAACCTTGGTTGCAGGCTCCTGCCCCGGTCTGTGCACGTGCAGGAGGCAACCAATCCATGTGTCTCTCTCCCTTCCGCTCTCTCTGAAAAAGCAATGGAAAAAATATCCTCGGGTAAGGATTAAAAAAAACGCAAAAAACCCTACTAGAATAATTTTGAAATAGTTTCAGTAGTGGTTTTGGCCTGTGTTTTTTTTCTTTTTGTATTTGAAAAATTTCAAAGTAATACATAATTGTTGATGAAAAGTTAGAAATTAAAATAGGCACAAAATTGTCACCTAAATACTACCTCTCCTTTAATAACCACTTTTAATGTTTTGGTGATAATTTTTTTAAAAATACTTTTTTATTGATTTCAGAGAGAGGAAGGGAGAGATAGAAACATCAGTGATGAGAGTCATTGATCGGCTCTCCTACATGCTCCCTCCTGGGGATCCAGCCCGCAATCAGGGCCTGTGCCCTGACCAGGAATAGAACTATGACCTCCTGGTTCATGGGTCAGTGCTCAACCACTGAGCCCTGCTGGCTGGGCCTGGTGATAATNATGTCAACAATAGCTCTGCTGGTCTTTATCTTACAGATTTTTTGTTGTTGTTAATCTTCACCCAAGGATATTTTTTCCATTGATTCTTTTTTTTTTTAAACTATTTTTTTTTTTTAATATATCTTTATTGATTTCAGAGAGAGGAAAGGAGAGGGAGAGAGAGAGATAGAAACATCAATGATGAGAGAGTCATTGATCAAGCCCACAACCTGGTCATGTGCCCTGACCAGGAATCGAACCCCGATCGCCTGGATCCTAGGTCGACGCTCAACCGCTGAGCCACACCCAGCCGGGCCTGGTGATAATTTTTAAAAATTGTTTTCTTTGCAAATATATACATATAGGTAAATATATGGTCTGAACAGAATTATACTTTTTTTAATTACGGAAAACTTCCAACTTAACCAAAGTAGAGAGAAGGTATGACTTCTTGTCTCCCGACATTGCCAGTTGCCTCATGTCCACTGTTATCTCACCCTCATTACTTTAGAGCAAATCCCAAATATCATATCTTTTTTTTCTGTAGTTTTTCTATGTGCATGAAAAAACACTACATTTTCATATGTAAAAATTTACATTTGGACACAGTCTGTTTTTTGACAGATTCATAAATAGTCTTTCCAGTTGGTGTCTTGAATTATAAAGATCTTTTTATTAACTTGTTTTGCTTTATTGTACAAGACATTTAAATAATACACTGTTACTACTAACAGTATAATTACAGTGTGAACACAGTTTCTAGATTTCTTTTTGATTATTTTTGTCTTTAGAATCCCATTTTTATTGTTGCATTTTTCATTTCATGATATAGTAAATGATATCGTAAAATAAGTAAATACCTTCATTTTAAATGGCTGCATGATATGTTTACCCATTTCCTTCTTGGAACACATAGGATGTTAATAACATTTTGGTATAAACAGAGCTGAGTTGACTGTATGTGTTTTTGCTCATTACATTTTTTTTTTTACATTTAAGAGAGCATACAAACAAGGATGTGTGTAAGTTTAAAGCTCTATTACTTTTTTACAGTAGAATCAACCCCAGCTTGAGAAACGGCATTCCTGGCCCCCCAGGGCCTCCCCCATGGCCCCTTCCCCACACTCCCTAAGGGTGACCACTGTCCTCATGGCAAGCATCACACTCACTTTCCTTGCTTGAGCTCTGTAAATAGCATTATTTAGTGTATGCTTCTCAAGCTTGCGTTTGAGACCCGTCTGTTTGCTCTCGGTGCCTGTGCCCAGTGAGTAGTAGGTCCTTTGGAACCCACTGTGTATATAGCCTGCTGTAGACGGACGTTTGTGTTGGGACAGTTTTTAGCTATTACAAATAGTTCACACACTTGAAAGATATCTTCTAAAGATAAATTCCCAGGAGTTGGATGTATGTCTGAGGGAATGGAGGCTTTTGCTGTGTGTTGCCACATCGCCCAGCATAAAGGCTATGCCAGCTCACACTCCCACGGGGGTTAGGTGAGGCCTGCCCCTCCATATTCTTATTGGTCCCATCTTACTAGTCCATGATTTGAAACGTGTTGTTGCGTTATTAGGGCTACACCAGTGTCTGATACATGTCAGGTGCCTGAAAGGGCGTTTTAAATCTCATGGAGAAAAAAACACCAGGAATGTTTGAGTGGCTCTCACTGCAGTGGCCTATGAAGCAGTTGTGCCCTAAAAATTGCTGGATTAGTTGGGGAGATGACATGTATGACAAATGACTCGCAGCACAAGTGCTACATTACTAGTTCCAGTGATGCTGTAAGACTTTAGATGAAGGAGAAACCAAAGTTTTCTTTGTAGTAGTATACTTGGGACGGGTCAGCTCTCTGTTACTCTCACCTCTCACTGATTTGAGATTACTTTCTTAGCTGAGGCCTGGCTGGACTAGAGACTATTTGGATTACAGAGGCCAAAGCCAGTGCGTAGGCCACTGTTTCAGTGGCTGATCCCCTTTATGTGTAAGACAAGTTTAGTGTTCTCTCTACCTCTCCTGCTTCTGGTTTGAAAATGCAGCAATATACTGCCTCCAAAATGCTATCTTTGATGTAAAAGTACACATCAGTGTCATTTTTGTAAATTTTGTATGTTACAGATTCAGTAGTTCTTTGTCCAACTGAAGGTGGGTGCTTGAAAAAAGGTAGTGACAGTGTGCTGTGGTTAAAAGCACCGTTCTAGGCTCTGTGAAGCCTTGGGCAGATCACCACCCCTCCCTGGGCCTCAATTTCTCTGTAGGATGAGGAAATGGGGGCCAGAAAATGGCAGGGCTTCTGCGCAATTGGGGATTTAGGGCCTCTCTCGCTTCAAATGGGAGCTCCTCGTCTGATCATTGCTTATGTTGCTGAGCAACTTGGGTCAGAAAAATTTAAAGTCAGCTGTGTGCTGTGCCAAACACCGTAAGCGCGTGAATTGTCTAAATGTAGGAACACAGTGGTATAGTCGTTAAGCGGCATATAGGGCTGCTGCCTGCCCGGAGTGGCCCTAGTTCACCAATGTTGTCGCAATGCTTTAGAAAGTCATAGAACCCCCCTACCCCCACCCCCTTCAGGGGAACTTTAAAATAATTATCTTTTAAGAATACCAGATGAGTTTCTTTTGCAGAAGTGAAAGCATCTTGCTTTTCTTCCATTTGAGAGGTTGGTGTCCCTTAGGAACAGGGATGCATGTTTCTGTGCATATTTAACACAAGGGCTTAATCCAAAATACGTTATTTGAATATGTCAGCATTTTAATGAGATGCAAGCTGATGTTGGATGTGTGCAGATTGAATTTGTCCGGCGTTCATTCGTAGCTTTTCTTTAATGAAGGGGTTGGCTTTTCACTCGCCTGAACGGAGCACCATGCACAGTAGCCTTGTGGCGTCTCGCCTGCGTAGACGCACCCTGAACACGGAGTGCAGCATAGGAGACAAACACAGGGCAGAGGTGCTGCAGCTGAGCAGCTGTCTAAGTTCATTTTTAAAGGCTGCCCCATGGGAAGAGCACTAGATTTTGCCCAGCTGACAGTTTTAAGTGACGGGCGGCCTTGGGAAAAAGTGACACGTGGTGACAGCAGAAGCCAGTTATTTCAGCAGCCTGTCTGAGTGACAGTGCTCCCTGGGTGCCACCCGCCCACTGCAGACCTCCCGGAGCTTTCTGTGAACAGCAGGCAGCCCCTCAGAGGGTCGCTCTGAAGGATTCACCAAATGTTTCTGCGAATTTTGTACCCGTGCACCTCTTCCCATTGTGGGATGGCAGGAGGGTGCCCTGCACATATCTCATCTCATCTCATCTCATCTCATCTCATCTCATCTCATCTCAATCTGCCTGGGTTTTGAGGTGGCCTGGCTTTGTCTTTCTCTCGCCCTCATGGAGCCCCTGCCCCTCTCCTTAAGGCCTGGAGTGTGAGTGGTGGGTGCTCCTTCCAGGCCTGGAGCACTTCAGAGCATGCTAGCAAGGGGCATGGATGCTGGCTCTCAGTGAGGGGCTGGTGTGTCTGTGAGACGGAATGGGGCGAGGGAAGCCGCTCTCCTGTTTGGGAAAATTATGTTGGAAGGAAAACGTGCCCTACACTGGGCATGTTTCTGCTGTTGTCTGCAGGAAATTTAGGGCAGAAAGAAATATTCCTGTTTCTCCTTATTTCTGTTTCTTTGTAGGTATTAATGACTGATGAGAAATTTCAAAGCCTCTGTGATAAGCAGCAAACCCTTATGATTTCAGAAGGAGACATACAAGTTCAAAAGAGGGGAACTCATTTTTCTCAAGTGTCAGGCATCATGCCTGGGACTTTCATATTTTACTCCATTGTAATAAAAGCAGCCCTGTGAGGTAAATGCATTGTGAAGGTAGGTCTGGAATCTGGGCCCCACGGAGCAGGGCTAGAATATTTGGTTCCTGTTTCTGCAGGCATGGGGACATGGAGTCACAGTGATGGAGTTGGAGGAGGCGGCAGCTTGTCAGGGAAGCGTGGTGCAGGGGGAGGAACCAGGGCAGAGACTATCCCTGGGACACCAGCACGGCTTCCTCACAGTTGATTCTGTCCCTGTCCCCATCTGTAAGGTGGGCCTGGCAGAGGGACTTAGGACCCAGGTTTGTGACAGTGCCGGAGGACATCAGAGGGCTGGTGTGCAGAGGAGCTTTGTCGGCGGGAAGGGCTTCCCTCCGTCTGCTGAGGGCACCCATGAAGGCGGTCGCTGTTAGTTAGGGTTTTGGTCAGCAGGAGGATTATGTGTTTGCTTTTATATCTGGCTGGATGTCTCTTCTGGTTTCTAACACTCTACTTTCTTTCCCTCCATTTTCAGAATTGCTTCATTTCTACAGTAGATTTTTTTTTATTATTATTTTTAAATATATCTTTATTGATTTCAGAGAGAGGAAAGGAGAGGGAGAGAGAGAGAGATAGAAACATCAATGATTAGAGAGTCATTGATCAAGCCCACACATCAGGCATGTGCCCTGACCGGGAATCGAACCCCGATCGTCTGGATCCTAGGTCGACGCTGAACCGCTGAGCGACACCCGGCCGGGCTCTACAGTAGATTTTAAGGAGACCTCCTATGTGCCAGGCCTAAGACAGATAAGTTTCTGCCGTTTCAAACACAGAAACTGTACGATTGATTGACATTGTTTTCTACTGGGATTAGTGATCCCAAACCTAACTGACTTCTCAACACCCCTGATCTGATACCTTTTTTAAAAATAAGGATTAGACTCTTTACATATTGTTTGTGCCAGTTATGCAGGCTTGGGGGATGTAACTGTTGAACTGAAGACACTGAGAAGGATGGATTGTGGGTATGGGTGTTTCATAGATTAGACTGCTGTGTTTTGTTGTTGTTAATGCTCACCCGAACGTGCCCTTGACTGGGAATCAAACCAGAGACCCTTCAGAGCACGGGCCAACATTCTAACCACGGAGCCACACCGACCAGGGCCAGACTGGCTCTGTTTCTACTTCAGGGGCAGGTGGGTTGGACACTGGAACCTGTGCCATGCCTTACGGCTAATTGTTACCTGAGTGTTAAGTTGTTGACCTGAGTGTGAAGTGTGGGCAGTGAGGTGTATGAAAATCAGTGTTTGGTATTTTTGTCATGAGAGGCAGGTTATTTTCCACTATGTTAAAGAAAACTGCTTAAATAGTGCATTGAACCTTGTTGCCAAAGTGACATAGCTCAGCTGAGTGGTCAAAGCCTCGTTTTATTCAGTCTGTGATTTGGAAGCCACTGGCGTTTCCCCACAATGATCAGCTGGGTGTGTGTGGTCCAGCCCAGACTGTGGACTCACCCCTTGCAGGCACTAGAAACCCCAGCCGAACTGGGTAGAAAGTCTCCCCAAGAAAGACTGAGGAGCGGCCCTGGTGATGTGGCTGCTTTGGGATCCTGAGTCTTTTACTTAGACAGGACTCCACTGGCCCCTTCTTTCCAAGGAGCGGAGCCCTCCTGGCCCTGGGAAGCGATCCCTCATTCACCCTGGGCCCTGGTCCTGGTCGCCTGGAATGCGAGCAGAGAGTGACAGTGGAAAGCACGACCTCAGTCTCCCGGTTTTGAGGTGGCACGTTGGAGCTTCGATGCAGTGGATTGCTCTAGCTATTTTTGACTGATCCATTCAGGCCGCCAGTGACTCAGCAGGCTCCTGAGTTTTTCGTTGTTTTTAAAAGGAGCTAGACTTTCACAGTCTATGGAATGCAGTTAACATGCTACAGCGAATGAACGTGGCACGTAGTGACCAGCCCTTGGCAAAGTGAGGAAGGCTTTCGCCTCCCGGATGTGAGGTTAGGAGGTGGTAACCTTGGAGCTGCTGTGAGCAGAGCGTGTGGATGTCGGGTGGGGAAGGTGCTCTAAGCGAGAGGAGATGTGAGGCAAGGCCAGAAGGCGTGCAGAGCACAGGCAGCCTGGGGTGCGGGGAGCCCATTTGAGGAAGGCTTGTGGATACGCAGTGAGGGAGCTGGCCAATATGTCACGCCTGGCAGAGCCTGGGAGGGTGTGAGTGGGAGAGTGACCTAAGGCTTCATGAAGAGTAACCTGGCAAAGTGTGTGGGATGAATTGCATGTGGGCAGAAATGGGTGCCAAGCCAAGGAGGCCAACCGAGGCTGGGCGGGGCCTGGGGCAGGGTCGAGTGGTGAGGCTCTGTAGCTGTTATTTGGTAGGGGTGCCCTACAGGGGGCCATTAAGCTTGGGAGAGGGACTTAGGAGGAGAGAGAGTGGTGTCTGATCTGGGTTGGATATCTGGAAGCTGTTAGATATGCCAGTAAAATGACTTATTTCTGGCAGGTTCTGTGGGACTGGTTCTCTCTGAGATGATTCTCAGATGAGGAAGGAGAATGAAGTTTTGGGAAAATAAAGCCCACCCTTACTACCTGCGTTGACCCCATAATCATCATCTGACGTGCACTTCTCAAAAGAGGTCTTTCTGAGATACTTTCCATATCACATCAGATGCTTCTGAGTCCTCAGGAGTGTCAGGTAGCCGGAGCCCACCGAGCCCGGGCAGCCCTTTCCCTTTGGTGGGCTAGACCCTCACAGCTTCACCTCTCTGGCTCCTGTTGGCTCAGCCGATTGGCCAGCAGCCTGGGAGGGTCTGGGTGAAGGTGTGAGCTGGAGGAAGAGGGTTTCTTTTGCAGACCTTCTGGTGCTGGGAAGATCGATGCTCGTTAGTGCCCTGCTAACCAGCCAAGCTGGCTCTGTATTGGAACAGCATTGTCATAACAAGAATTCCAGGATTTTAAGGATTAAAAGTCCAAGGAAAGGAGAAACATGACATTTTAAGGTTTGTACTTATTGATCGAGGATTTTGGTAGCCAGTTCTGAAGTTTCTGTAGTAGGAGTTTTAAACCATCATTTAAAAACTTTCTGTGGCCCGGTCGGGCATGGCTCAGTGGTTAAGTGTCGACCTAGGATCCAGGCGATCAGGGTTCGATTCCCGGTCAGGGCACATGCTGGGGTTGCGGGCTGCAGCCGATCAATGACTCTCTCATCATTGATGTTTCCAGCTCTCTCTCTCCTTTCTTCTCTCTCTGAAATCAAGATATATTTAAAAAACCAAACAAACAAAAAAAACACCTTTCTGTGAAGTTGAGACTAAGGCACTAATTATTTGCAATTATTAACTCCTTATGCAGAATCTAATGAGCATGATGATAAAATTTAATATTGTGATTGAAAAAATTTGAAACAATGGCAGTTTCATTCATTCAACAGATATTGAGCATTTATGACATACTGGATACTCCAGTGGGACTGAGTGAGCAAATGTGATCTAATTCTTAAAATTGGTAAGACATTTTAATGAACTGGTTTTGGTAAAACTCATACTTAAGAATTCAGATAATTGGCAATAATCAGGATGCGGAAGCACTAAAAAAACTCCAAAGTGTCTGAAACACAGAAAGCCAAAAAACAAGCTAATTTTGTGGAACACAATGGTAACTGTTTAATAAAGAGGTTCTGCTCCTTAAAGGAGTTTCTATTGTAAATTTTTATCGTAATTGTAATTTTATTGTAATTGATGATAACAGACATAAAACAATACTATAATCGTGGAAGTGATCAAACAGTAACTCTTGTGGAGTGAAACAAGCCCTCGGGAAGTGAGATGAGGAGCCAGCACTAGAAATGTGGCTGGGGAATGCCCGCTGGAGGCGGTGGGACAGGAACTGTAGGTGAGGTTCCTGGAAACGGGAGGAGACTGTCTCAACCCAGAGCGCTGCCTGCCTGCCCCAAAGTCAGGCCTTGTGGTGTGGGGGCAGGTGCAGGGTGGAGGGTGGGACACGACCCCTGAACTGCTCCCCAGGCTCCTCAGCTGTGAAATGTGGGTGGCATTACTGTCAGCTTGGCGGGGCGCTGTTAGGTTAAATGAGATGGCGAGTGTGACGTCCTGGTGCATAGAATGAGGCCCATGGACAGAAGGCGGTGCTGTGTTAGGGAGGAAGGTATGGCATCCTGCTCTGACGTGAAGCCATTTGACCCAAGTGTGGGGGGAAGTGGGTGGTGACAGGGATGAATTAATAACGGTAGCTACCATGTGAGTGCTTCTGTGTACTCTGTGCTTTATATCCATTATCTGCGCGCCTCACCACCGCCCTGGGGGAGCTGGGGGGCAGGGGGAAGGAGGAAAGAGCACTGGGCACAGGGTCACCTTGCTGCCAAGGGAAGGCGGGGCTTGAGGCCAGGCCCGCTGGCTCCAGAGTCTGGACTCTTGGCCCTACCAGACTGGTGCTACCTGGGAAGCCACCTGTGGGTCTTCTGACCCCGTGGGGAAAGGAGTGGCTGGCTCAGGTAGTTATTACTGCTACTCAAGGTGTGTGAGTTCAGAGGACACGTGGGCACCACCCCCCCGAAAGAAAGAGAAGGAAGAGGAAATAGGGCAGCAGCCCATCAGTGGAAAGAGAGACGGTCTGGTGTAGACGAGGAAAGAGCACAAGAGGCGTCGGAGACGATGGTGCTGGGTTGGGCTCCAGAAAGCTCAGGTACCAGTGGCGGGGCCGGTGGAGCCTCAGAAGTATAGTTTCTTGTGGGCACACACCTAGCAGTCCCTCGGGCTCCTGCTGCAGGGAATTCCTGCCGCTTGGCCAGACTCCTGCTCTAGTGCTGGGGCCAGTGCCATTGGGAGGGGGAGGAGTGACCTCCCGGAGGAGGTATCCTGAGGGCTCCTTGGGTCTCTGGCTGTCCTTGGGCCTTGGGGCCTCTTCGGGGNGTGCTGGGGCCAGTGCCATTGGGAGGGGGAGGAGTGACCTCCCGGAGGAGGTATCCTGAGGGCTTCTTGGGTCTCTGGCTGTCCTTGGGCCTTGGGGCCCCTTCAGGACTTGCTCCTCCCAGCAGTGTTGAAGGGCCAATTTGAAAATGTCCAGGCTGTCTGGACTGATAAAAAATTTTGTAAAATAAAAGAGGAATTACTAAGAAAAGAAACTGAAAAAGACACACAGAATGCTAACTAATTTTTTATTATTAGAGTGAACATAAAAAATTACTGCATTAAACTGTCATAAAAATTTCTAAAGCTTATTGGCAGTTTCTGGATTTGATTTTGACTGCAGACTATTAAACTGCTCACGACTGGCTCACTGTGAGAGCAGTGATCTAGGAAGAAAGTTTATTAAGCAAATTAGTAAACAGGATGTTTTTGGAATAGTTACATGATTTAAGAATAAAGTTAGCCTTTCAGTTGGCATTTAAAATATTTGAGGTGTTTGTTCACATATGATATTATTATGGACGACACCTTTTCAGTAAGGTTCATGTTAGGGGCAAGGATGGAGGATAAATGTGTGGTGGGCAAAATGTATGGAAGATGATACAGTAATTAATAAATAATACAGGAGTAGATTCTGTTTCAGTACTCACAACTGTAAACCTACTTTTGCCCCACCCTGTATACCAAGAACGGAGGCTAATGTGGTCATTGTACGGGATCCATAGGCCTAGACTACTTGCAATACTTGGAAAAATAGGTGCTTTTACTCCTCTGTTGTTTCTGAGACCACTGTACATTCTTTTGCTCATCTCATTTATGTCAGTATGTTTTCTGTTAATTTTTGGCTTGCCTTTTAATTGATTTTAATATATTACTGTGTAATGTTAGGCATATTCTTTTAGGGGTGGGTTTCCTAAGCAAACTTTTATTAAAAAATCTCCAGAGTGATATATGCTGACATAGAGATTGTGTAATAATTTAATTTGTTCACATTTCAAATTTGCATTTTATCTCCAACTGCCTGAGCTCCCAGAGTACTCTTACTACTCAGGGCTAGGCTTCCAAATGCTCAGGCTTTGCATTTGCCGGTAATTTTGAGATCCTCTCTTTCTCAGTGTTTTATTTGTTATCTGAAAAGTGAATACTCAGTACTGTGCACAGGCCCCTTTGAAGGAAGAAATCTTCAGAAGCTTGACAGGGCAGGGATGGTTGGTAGAGAATAGAGCCGTGTGCCCCAGAGAGCCACAGGCCCAGTGGTGTTTAAAGGACTCAGTCAGCAGCATAGTTGTCTCCACCTGTGGTTTTCACACAAGAGTGGGAGGGGTGGGTTTCCTCTGTGGCAGCCACTGGATTGCGCAGGACATGGCTCGTGAAGAAGAGAGCCTGCTTTAAAAGGAGGGAGGCGCTTTGGAAAGGCACGTGTAGCCCAAGTCAGAGTAAATTGCCTTTTCCTTTGGGGTGTGTGGCTGTTTTCTCTTCCTGTTCCCTTATGGTCAACAGGCCTGGGTTCCAAATCCAGCCCTGCCATGTACTAGGTAGGTATGGTGACCGTGGCGTTAACTTCCCAAAATTTATTTTCTCATCTGTAAAATGGGGGAATGTTGTCTACTTAGAAGGATTATTGTTAGGATGAAAAATAATGCATGTACCACACTTGAGTGAGTGTGGGCCCCATGGGTGAAAGTTACCTGAGAGGGAATGTGGGAAGGACGGGCCCTGGCGAGGAGCGCCTGCTTACAGTGGTGGTTCTCAGACAGGAGTGCAGTGGCCGTTGGACTCACCGGGAAGGCTTTAACTATAGTTTCTGGGCCTACCTGGTTTCTGATTCACTTGGTCTGGGGTGGGGCTTGAGAATTTGCATTTTTGAGTTTCCAGGTGATGCTGCTGCTGCCACTGCTGGTCTGGGGACCACACTTTGAGAACCATCGGGCTACAGGTAACTCACCAATGAGCATGTAGGTGCTGCAGATAAATTAGAAAGTGGAGCTTTTATGTGGTTAGAGGTACTCTGTTAGAAAGTGCTTGGAATGCATTTTGCAAATACTGAATTTAGTATGTCAAGGATCTTTCCTCCTAAAGCCCAGGAGTCTTAGTTAAATGTGTTTGAAGAAGAGGAAGTTGCAAAGGTAACAGTTACAAACACTGTGGACAGTCTAACAGTGTCAAATGGGCAAGGTATGTGAAAGAAAGTGCTTTGTAAAATGCTAAAGTCTGAAAAAGTATTTTAAATACCTTTCTTTTTAAGATTGAGCATCATAGTGGAGTATAAAATAGTGTAACTTAGAGTTTTCGTCTCAATATGCTGTTTACCGTATGTATTTTTCTCTTTCTCCTCCAGGCTGCTGACTTGAGTAAACCAATAGATAAAAGGATATACAAAGGAACACAGCCTACTTGTCATGACTTCAACCACCTAACAGCCACAGCAGAAAGTGTCTCTCTCCTAGTGGGCTTTTCCGCAGGCCAAGTCCAGCTTATAGACCCAATCAAAAAAGAAACTAGCAAACTATTTAATGAGGAAGTAAGTAGCACCCTGCTTAGCTGTTAAGAACCCCTTTAAGAATTTGTGTGTCCTTACCAAGGGGAGTGGGCTTTCTTTTACACTTTTGATCTAAGCCCGTTTCCCGTCTCTCGGCTGTCCTACCTCGTATTACCAAGTTTAAATGGGGTGAACGAACTTGTTGACTTTCACCTGTTCTTCCCTGGGGTAACTGTTTTGTGCGTTTTTGTGGAGCATGCTCAGGTGTCTATAGCAGGTGCTTTAAAACTCTGTTGTAAAGAAGATAGGGATGAGACTGTGACTTGATTTTTGTAATTTAAGTAAGAAAATTTAGAATTTCACACCTCATTCACATCACCAGAAATTTTTGTGCAGACCAAGGAACTTGATGCCATTTCCTTAGGCGGTTTACATCACGCTTAAAGCTTTTGTGTGTATGTTTGACAGGCCTTTGGCTAAGGAGTAGTTCTTTTGCTCTTGAACATATTTGCTGTTAAGTCACCTTTGACACAGTTAGAAATCCTGGCACTTAAAGTTGGATCACACAACTGAGCTTTGGCCAGGGTTGTAGTAAGTACTGGGGTTTCTAGTATCTCAGTTTCATTCTGGAAGGAGCCCGGATATCTGAGCTGTCTGTTCAGGAACACATCAAGACTGTGAAACGTGGCAGGTAGAAGCTGCCAAATAGGTTATATTTGTGAAAGCTGCCGGAGCGGCTTTCAGCCCCAAGAATTGCCATTACATTGCGACATTCTCCCTCCTGTGTTTCAGTGTGACTCCCAGTCCGTGGGAAGGATGGTGTGGGTTCCCCTCTGTGTGACTCCAGCCCTGATCTGATGGGTCAGGTCATGTGGGATCCCTCTTCTCAGGAAGGGCAGGTGGTTTTGCACTGTCGTGTGATTTTAACGCCATTAATTTGAAACAGAAGCACATTATAGATTCTGGTTTTTAAGAAATAGTTTTGCTTGGGGAAGAAGACTCAACTTGACAAACTGCATTTATGATTCTGATTCTCTTAAATTTGTTGTGGTCCATGCTGTCCATGCACCCGTGTCCACTCCAGTGCTCCTGGGTGGCTTTGCTAGTGGACTCAGTGAGCTCTTCTGAACCATGCCATCTCCACTCCTAGTTTCATCTGGGTTGTCTGGAAGCAAAACTTGCCATCCAGATCGACAAACTGTAGAGGAAAAATATTTAATTCCATTTCTAAAAAATATGTTTTTATTGATTTTAGAGAGAGAGGAAGGGAGAGGGATAGAGAGATAGAAACATTGATGAGAGAGAAACATCAGTCAGCTGCCTGCTGCACGCCCCCTACTGGGGATCGAGCCCGCAACCTAGGCATGTGCCCTGACCGGGAATCGAACCGTGACCTCCTGGTTCATGGGTTGATGCTCAGACACTGAGCCACAGCAGCCTGGCTGCTTCCATTTTCCGTTAAAAAAACTTAAGCAGAAAATTACTCTATTTACCTAGATATTTTACTATTATCATTTGAGGAAGTGATTTCTAAGTTAGCTGGATGATACATATTTTTTTTGGTGGGGCAGAGTGGAGTCTCAAAACCAGCCCTCTCTCTACTGTTAGTAGAAATTGTGAGTTTGGACTCATTGTGGGTTTTGTTTGTGTGGAGTTGGGCGTGTTACTGAGGGGGAGGGGATTGGAGCCATGTGAAGGGCTGTTGGTAAACAAGGTCAGGAGGCTGCTCTGGCCAAGGATGGCACAGAATGTCACTCAGAGAACAAGGGGCTGTGTGTCATCACAGGGGAGGGCAGTGCCAGAGACCACGGGTACCTGGAGTCTCCCTCCCAAGAGCACACAGAAGCATCAAGCCAGACTGCCCCTCATTCCAGACACCTGGGAGTTGGAGGCTGGAAAGCACCTCCCTGCTCCCAGTGATCTAAGCAGGAGTTATCTCTTGCTCTTTTTACATTTTGTTTGAAAAACGGCTCTGCAGAAGTGAGGCCTGTGTGTGGTGTAATGCCAACTTGGCATTCAGCTCGAGGCTGAACTTGATTGTCCTTCACAGTGAGGAAGTTCTCTGGCTGTGCGGGTGACATTTGCATCAGCTTTGGGTGGTGAAGGCAGGGGTCGTCAGAGGTTTGTGTCTCAGAGACGCCAGGCATGGGCTGGCGCAGTCGTCATGCTTTGCAGGGGGATGAGAGTCAGAGGGTTCAGAGCGTCTTAGATGTTCCCTCTGTCCAGGAAGTGGGCAGCTGTCCCCATGTTACAGATGAGCTTGTCAGAGAGAAGGTAAGTGAATTGTCCAGATCAGGGGCTCTTTGGTGATAGAAATGGAAGTAGAAATTAATTCCACAGGCTCGAACTGGTCGCAGATTGTAAGCCCAACCCAGGAGCTCTCAGTTTAGTAAGGTGGACAGACAGCGCTAGGCCATGTGTTGTCCCAGTGCTATGAACACAGTACCAAGGGATATGTGGTAACTCTGTTCTTCAGTGTGTATCAAATATCATAAAATTAAAACAAAAGTTAAGCTTGGTGGAAGAAGTCCGAGGTGGCTTCCAAAAGGTGGCATTTGATGCCTGATCTTGAAAGACTCAGAGGAGCTGGAAGAGGTGAGGGAGGCCTTCAGAGCTGGGAGACAGCCTGGCATGTGGAGGAACAGCCTGGAGCCGGTGTGGCCCAGTCACAGCAGGAGGGCTCAGAGTGGCAGGAGCCGAGCTGGGCAGATAAACTGCAGCCAGACTGGCAAAGCCCTTTTGTGACATGCTAACAAATTTGGATGTGACACTGGAGGCTGTGGGGGAAGCTTTGGGCTTTTACTCAAGGGAGTGACAGAATCAAATGTGTTTTTTTAGAGCTCTTGTCAGCACTTGTGGAAGGTGGATTGGAATGAAGAAAGAGAGAATGAAGGTAGCAAGACCAGTGAGGAGGCTCTAGTAACTGTCCAGGTGAGAGCTGAGGGCTTGGACTAGAGTCGTGCTGTTTTTTTCATTCATTTGACAGACCTCCATTGCCTACCTTGTGCCTGGCACTGGGTCTGCAGTGGCAGATAACCCCTGCCCTGCACCACACGCACGCACATGCATGCAGACACAGCAGATGGTGACTTGTGATGTGAGAGGAGACAGTGGGCCTGAGAGAGAGAAACACGGAGGCCTGCTTTAAATAGGGGGCAGAGACCATCTCTCAGAGGAAGTGGTGTGCTTTAAGCCTCACCTTGCATGGAAAGGAGGCCAACCAGGTAAGGAACTGGAGGTAGAGCATCCTGCAGAAAGGAGAGCAGGTGAAGGCCCTGGGGTAGGGAAGAACTTGGGGCCAAGAGAACTGAGAGGACGGTGTACCTGGGGGGAGGGGCGTGAACTGAGGGCCATGCCACTAGGGGTTTGGCCCAGGTCTGTCTTTGCCTGATTGTGGGGTCCCATAGAAGGGAGCAGGAGCACGAGGCAGTCAGATGGCACTTTTGAAAATGACCCTGGTTGCTTCTTGGAGACCGAAGCAGGGGAGAGATGAACAATCTGTGGGTTTCTGGCGACCACTTTCCCACACTGGGTAAAACTGGGAAGGAGTGGTGTTGGCGAATAGAGGGAGAGCCCAGTTCCATTCTGTACTCACTAAGCTTGAGAGGCTGGGAATTGATACACACATCAACTTGAAGCTCAAAGCTAGAGGTAAAAATCAGCATGTAAATAACAGTCACATCCCTGAGACTGGGAGAAAGGTCTGCGGAGAAAGTATGGGAAGAGCAAGAACAGCCCTGGACCCAGCCCTGTGTGCTCGGGGCTTTTGGCCAGCTCGTCATCCTGGCTCCAAAGCTCTTAACCCATCGGCTTATTGCCGTGAATTTGCAGACTCAGCCCAGTGGCTTAGAACATGGAGCCTCGAGGCTACGGCCCTGGGTGCAGACACCGGCCCTGCAGTGGCTGCTCCCTGCTGTGGGTCTGATGCTGCTGCTCTCCTCGGCTGGGGAGGGAGGACAGCGCCTGGCAGAGTGTGTGTGTGGGTGAGAGGCAGCCCTGGTGGGTGCTCCGTCCAGCTCCAGGGAGAGGGGAAACCCAGAGCGTTCTTTTCACCAGGGGTTGGAAAGAACAGCTTCTTGGGAGATGAGATGCCGGTCGTTGTGAAGGAGAAACATAAATAGTTTTCCAGGATGAGAAGGTAAGAGCAGGGCAGCCAGGCAGAGAGTACACATGAGAGCTGAGGATGGGGCTGCTGTCTCACTCCCCGGAGCGCTTCTCGGCCGCCGTTCCATACGTGCAAGGGGCACCCATGCCCCGGTGGGATGATTCTGGTTACTCTGACATTGCCTCCTTCCTGGAGGTACCTGGTACATGACAATGCAGTACACCCTTGGGTGGGTGGGTAACACAGATGTAAGTTCCAGAAATCCACTTGAGATTAAAGGGAAATGAAAAGTTCTGTGTGGGAATCAAGTATATCTTAAAAGGTAATTTTTTTCCATGAATTAAAACATTTTTTAAATGCCTCTATAGAAACATTGGGATACAGAGAAGTACAAGAAGAGGGAGGACATCACCTGTGACTTGGGAGGACATCGTCTGTGACTCCCGGTGCTCACTGTTAGCTTCATCTCTTTGTAAGACCAAGAGTCACACCTTCCACTAGAGATGCTGGTCCCTTCACCTCCCAATCTGGCCCCTGATCAGTTCTCTTCACAGAGGCGAGCACTGGCGGCTCCCAGGCCAACCCGGTCACACTGGAGACCCTGGCTGCTGGGCCTGGGCCAGTCGGGGAAGGAAGTGCCTGGTCCTTCTGGGCTCCCTCAGGAGTGCTAGCCTCAGATGCCCGGGTCTCTGATCCCCCAGGTTTTAGGTTTCTGTCTGTAGCACTCATATATATCGTGCCCTTGAAAGTGTCTGAGGGGCCTCTGTTGGAGTCTTTAGGCACATCCAATAAACTCCCAGGCCATGGAGCCTCCCTTCATAATACGAGCTGCCTGGAAAGGAGAAGCGCCCTGTCAGCATTCAGCCTTGTGTGGAGCACCCACGGGGTGAGGGGTTCACTTTTTATTGCTAGTGATTATGATGTATTGGGGAGGAGG